ATCTTGAACTAGAAAGCCTAAAAAAAAATACAATCAACCTCCTCCTCCTCCTCCTCCTCCTCCTCCTCCTGCTCCTCCTCCTTGTCACCTGTGTAAATTGAACCCCCCGATAAAGAAACCCAACCAGAAGACCCATGGTCACACTCCTTCCAAACGCAGCTCGCTGAGACGAGTAAGTGAGACGAATACGATTGAGAGGAGGAGGAGAGCGAGGGAGAGGAGAGCAGAGGATCTCAGATGATGTGAGGGCAGAGGGTGTCAGACTTACAGCAGAAACAGGGTTGCGAGTCGAGTTGATCCAGGCACGTCTGTAGTGGACAGTGAGGCAGATAAGGCAAGAAAAGGAGAGGAGCAGGAGGAGCAGGAGGAGCAGGAGGAGCAGCGAAAGGCAGGCAGGCAGGGACCTGAAGAGGAGAACGAATTGTTCGGTGAAGGTGGTAGCGAAGTTCTCCTCGTTGGCTAGGAATTTTCTCTTGTCAGCACTGCTGGAGGCTCTCTGAAGCGCTCGGCTCCTCTGCTCCTCTGCTTGCTCGAGCTCCTCCTCCAACACTAGCCAGCCGTCAAGAGGTCACATGAAGAGGAGGGGAAAGGGGAAGAGAGAATTGAGGAGAAGAAGCATTGTTCTTTGACCTCTGTGTGCGTCAGACTTTTCAAAGCTGCTGATGATTTTCTCCTTGCCCTCCAATCCTGTCGAAGGAGTCGACAGTCATACAGCGAAACAAAGCCTAAGATCATCTTCATCATCATCATCATCTTCTTCTTCTTCTTCTTCTTCATGTTGTTCTTCTTCTTCATCATCATCATCTTCTTCTTCTTCTTCTTCTTCTTCTTCTTCTTCTTCTTCTTCTTCTTCATCATCCATCATCATCATCATCATCATCATCATCATCCATCATCATCATCTTCTTCTTCTTCTTCTTCTTCTTCTTCTTCATCATCATCATCATCATCATCATCATCATCATCATCTCAATCTCCATCTCAATCTCCATCTTCATCATTATCATTTTCATTCACCCAGAAAGTTTTGTTGAGTTTCTGACTCACCGACGTCGAAGCCAGAGAGAAGGTCAAGAAAAAACTCCGCAGGGTTTGTGAACTCAGGACATGCATGACCAACAGCTGTGACAAGATCAGCAAAGAGGAGGAGGAGGAGGAGGAGCAGCAGCAGCAGATGCCTTACCTTCGAAATGAGCGAGAGCCCCGCGAGCAGAGCCGTAGTAGGCGGTCCTGCCCTCTGAGAGGAGAAGAAGTTTGTCGAAGAGATGAAAGTCGCGGGAGGAAGGCTGATGGATGGTGAAGGCGACAGCGACGTTGGACGATCTGAAGGAGAAGCTGATTCAGATAGCTAGAGCAAAACCAGAAGAGGAGAAGAGCGAGCAGAACGAGCAGAAAGTTGCCTTGCGAGGTCTTGGAGGAGTTTCAGCATTTGATGAGTTGCTGCTGAATCAAGACTTTTGAAGAAAATCAACAAAATGATTTCCTGACCTCAATCGTCCTCCTTCTCCCTTCCTCCCTCTTCCTCTTCCTGTGTTTTCCTCCCGTCTCCTCCTCCCTTCCTCGCTTTCTCCCTTCCTAGGCCTGGCGTCTCCTCTTCGAAACATTTCATCTCTCCTACTTCTCACCCTGAGGTCGGCTCATCCAGCAGCAGCACTCGCGGTCTGTGAACCATTTCCATCGCAATGCTGGGGACCACAAGAGGTGAGCGAGTAGAAGCAGCAGCAGAAACACAATCACGAGGAGGAAGAGGGAGAGAAGCAGCAGCAGCAGTTTACAGCAAGATAAGGGAGGGCAGCATGGGGACGGAGCAACGAAGAGTGATGGAGCATACCTGACCCTCTTCTTCTCTCCTCCGCTGATTCCCTTCCTCCTCCTCGGGTCCCCTGCCCTCCTCTCACTCGCATGGCAGCAGATGCCGCTAGCTCACCGATGCGCGACGATCGGATGCTCTGAAGGCCCAGGTCCGCCACCTGCTGCTCCACCAGCTGCTTCCTCTCCTCCTCTGCCTCCTCTGTCACCTCCGACGTCCCTCTCCTCCCACCCGCCACCTGACACGTTCGACGGCATGCGGATGGCGGCAGAGAAGGAGATCGCTTCCTCCACTGTCACTGTAGGCAGCAGCACATCCTGGAGGCATGTGACGAGGAGGAGGAGGAGGAGCAGCAGCAGCACTCACCTCTTGTGGCACCATCCCCAGGTATCGCTTCATGGCTCGATTCATGTCCTCGCCATTGATGCGGACAGCTCCTTCGCTCTGTTTGGTATGTCAACGAGCACAAGTACGGGAGGAGGAGGAGGAGCGGGAGCAGGAGCGGGAGCAGAGGGTGAAGAGAGTTCGACCCACCTGCTGCCGTTGACCCGCAAGGATCTGGAGGAGCGTTGTTTTGCCGCTCCCTGAGGCACCCATGATCGCCATCACCTTTCCTGCTTGAACGACTCCGCTGACACCGTGAAGGATGCTCTAGGATACGGTCAGAAACGCGAGAGGAGGAGGAGGGAGGGAACCTTGCCATCTTCAGTCTTCCACGAGATGTCATGGAAGCTGAGGAGGGTGTCGGCAATGAAGTTTTCGTGTTGGGACATCCTTGGAGCCTCTCACCTCTCCATCAAGACTGCCAACCAACACCGTTAGCTCCCTGCTGACCTCATCGCGTTACATGCCCAATGCCCCCCTCCAGCACCTCGACCAAAGACTCCGGAAGAATCCCTCCCTCCTCTCTCTTTACCTCCTTCTATCCCTCATCATGCAAAACACTTCTCAACGCCTCCTCTCCTCCCAACTGCCTGCTCGCCTGATCCACCTCTGTATCCTTCGAAAGCTCAGCAAAGTCCTCCACTTCCACTTGCATTGCCTCACTCCTTCGCTTCTACTTCTCATCTATCAAACCCTTACCTTCCCTGCTCCCTGTATCCCTTCTAGATCCCATCCTCGTCCTCCTCTTCCTCCTCTTCCTCTCCCTCCTCTCCTCCACTGCGGCCCCGTACATTTTCCTGCACTGCTCTAGCTGTAGTATTTATGACCCCCACCCCCTCACTTCCATGGTACTACCCCTAATTTTACTGTAAGAGATTTTTTCTGTTTCCGGGCAGCACCTGGCAGTATAGCTAGAAATGCACCCCCTTCAAAGCCTGAATGAGGGTGGGGTAGGGTTATCAGTCTCCACACCTCCCATAAACCGTACATCTACCCCTCCATTTGACCTGTTTCACGGGCTCATTGTAGGTGGGGTTATCTGATCAGTGATCCCCACCCAGTAATACCCACCCTACCCTCCTCCTTAGGCTTCAAGTGACCGGTAATGATAAAAGCGTCCAAGCGGGTCCATCCGTACCACCCACCCACTTCGTTATGTACCCAGTTTGCCCCAGACCAGTAGTCAGTATTGTACCCCACCCTCTTATGACCACTTGTAATTATCTCAAGGGAGGGTACTTGAGAGTACCCCTACCCACTTTTTGAAGGACCCTTTTTGGACGACCCTCGCTGATTGTCCTATGAATGGCGTTTTTATTCAACGCCATGGTAACGACAAGTCAAAAGTGATGAAGAAGAGAATTGAGAAGAAGAGAGATGAGATGAGATGAGATGAGATGCGATGAGATGAGATGAGATGCGATGAGATGAGATGAGATGAGATGAGATGAGATGAGATGAGATGAGATGAGATGAGATGAGATGAGATGAGATGAGATGAGATGAGATGAGATGAGATGAGATGAGATGAGATGAGATGAGAAGGGAAGAACAGATGGCACAAGTGTTGAAGTGGGGAGAATTCAAAGAACTGAGAGGACGAGAGGACGAGAGAGGAAAGGGAGAATAAGGCAAGTGGCGAAGGGAAGGATGCTAGTGCAGCAATGAAGTTATGCAAGCGAGAAACAGATCTTGTGTTCAAACCCTCATGGTTTCACACAGGGAATTGAGTGGGAGATATGAAGGAAGCTTCTGAGACATACATGAACGAACTTTGATCAACCAGCATGGGCATCATGGACCTGCTCCTTTCGAGGTCAGAGGACCTGTCCTGCCATTCGCTTCCTCCCGTCATATCACGTCCCTGCCATGATGGCCAAGCGCCGAAGGTCGGGGACGGCTCAGCTTCGTACCTTCTAGGGGCAGAAGAGAGCAGGGGAGGAGCCTCGCCTCGCCTGACTGCTGCCATGCTGCGAGCAAGCGAGTCGGTCCGCAAGAGAGCTCAAATCATCCGAGACAAGGACAGGAGCCTCCATCCTCGCATGCTGGGGGCGGGTAGAGACTCGGAGGAGAGCAGCTCCTTCGTCTCAACCGTGCATGGAAAGCAGGCGCAGCAGGTCAGCTCCAAGAGCTCTCCCATGCTGGAGACTCGAGGAGGTCAGAGCTTCCTTCCCATGCGCATCTCCACGTTGAAGTTCTCGGGAGGGAGCGGGGGTAGTAAGTCCCTGACGGCGAGAGAGGGAGGGGACGGGGACAGCAGCGGTCGCTTCGCCAACTCGGACTCGAAGATGGTCGCCCCCCGCCTTAGCTTCTCCACCAACATGGTCGACGGGCTGCGATGGAGCTCAGGAGGGTGTTTGGTGGGATCGCGAGTGCCAAGTCGGGAGAGCGGGAGCGACGAGGAGAGGAAGAGGAAGAACTCGCGGAGGGAGGGGCAGGGAGGGCTGCTGCTTCCCCTCCACGGGTCAGCTGGGTTGTTGGGTGGAGCTCAAATGGAAGCGAGCAGGAGAGAGAAGAAGAGCTCGCTCTACGGTCAGGTGAAGGTCAGAGAGCCGCTGCTGCTGGTGAACATACACGAGCTGGGCCCTTCCTGGGCGATCCATGGGGAGAGGAAGGACCACGAGCTGACGAGGGACGAGCGGTATGAGGAAGTGAGCAGCGCAGAGAAGGAGAGGAGATGCAGAGACATGGCAGAGAAGGAGTACAAGAGGATCATGGAGGGAACCGTCTCCTCCTCCAGCTTCCCCGCCCGCATCGTCTTCAACAAGGACGTCACTTCCCCCGACTCGTCAGAGTGTCAGCCTCCTCTCCCTGCTCTCATCAACTGGAAGTGCCTCGTCTTCTCCTCCGACTTTGAGTGCGGGAACCTGCGGCGAGCTGTGCAGGTGGGGGAGCACGAGTATGACCTGCTGCTCTCGACGGACACCAAGACGCGGAGGCACGTTCAGTGGTTCTACTTCCGCATGTCAGGGATGGAGCGAGGGGTGAGGTACAAGCTCAACATCATCAACATGCGCAAGCATGACTCCCTCTTCAACTACGGGCTCAAGCCCGTCGTCCTGTCCGTCAAGCTCCTGCACAAAGAGGGAGCTGGCTGGCACCACGCGGGAGAGGAGGTGGCTTACTACCGCTCGTCGGTGAACAGAAGCAGAAGCGGGAGGGGCCTGCACACGCTGACCTTCACGCTCTCCTCCCCGATGGACAACGACTGCTTCTTCGTCGCTCACTCTTACCCATACTCCTCCTCCGACCTAACGAGGTTCCTCTCCCTCCTCGAGAAGAGCAGCTCCTCCGGGCGCTACGTCACTCGCTCCTCCCTCTGTCGCTCGGTCGGTCAGCGCGAGTGCCCGCTGGTGAGCATCACAGAGCCCGAGGGGGAGGCAGCAAAGAGGACGACGATCTTCATCTCCTCTCGCGTTCACCCAGGGGAGACGCCGGCGAGCTGGGTGATGCACGGGCTGCTGGAGTTTCTGACGAGCGAGGAAGAGAAGGCGAAGTCGCTGCGGCGGCAGCACGTGTTCAAGCTCGTCCCGATGATGAATGTCGACGGAGTGATGGCCGGCAACTGCCGGACGTCGCTAGACGGGGAGGACATGAACCGCTGCTGGGAGGAGCCTCGTCGGGTCACCTGCCCTGAGATCGCAGCAGCCAAGGAGCTGCTGAAGAGCCTCAAGGACGAGGGACGTCCCGCCATCCTTTTCATCGACCTCCACGCTCACTCCCGTCAGCTCGACTGCTTCGTCTACGGCTGCGACACCAAGAGCGGGAAGACGAAGGAGGAGAGAGAGGAGGAGCCGCTTGATCCCTCCTCCTTCGATGTCCGTGTGTTCCCCGCCCTCGTCGCTCAGAGCTGCGACGGTTTCAACTTCAGCTCCTGCTCCTTCAACGTGAGCAGAGGACGTGAGGGATGTGCCCGGGTGGTGGCGCATCGAGAGCTGGGGATCCTGGGGTCTTACACGCTGGAGGTCTCATTCCTAGGAGGGACGTTGGGGAGGTGCCGAGGAAGATTCTTCTCGCGCGAGGAGCTCAAGGGGATCGGGAGGAGCATCTGCGAGAGCATCGCCTCCTACTCGGACTCCGAGCAGGTCACCATGCTGGTGGAGTCGCTGAAGCGATTGGCAGTCATGAACATGCACAAAGAGGAGGAGGATGAGCAAGTGAAGGAGGGCGAGGACGAGGACGAGGACGAGGAACTGGAGGAGGGAGAGGAGGAGGAGGAGGATAACCGTACGCCCTCTCCGGAACAGCTCGAAACGCAACAACTTGACACTAATGCAAGTGAGGAGAGGGCGAGTCTGCAGGAAGAGTCGGCACAACCACGAGGAGTGGAAGACAGGAGGAGGAGGAGGAGGAGGAGGCAGATGTGTACGGAACCAGGGGAAGTTCAGCAGCAGCAGCAGCAGCAGCAGCAGCAGCAGGAACCTTTACGTGTGGATGAGACGTACAGGACAAGGGGCCAGCAGCTTCTCCCTCCTCGATCCCTTCCGCCTCCGCAAGACTCCAGCAGCTCGTCGAAGCCGATCGAGATCTCGTGCAAGTCGAATGTGCGTGCTGAGTTACAAGAGAAGGAGAAGGAGGAGGAGGAGGAGGAGGAGGAGCCCCTCGCTCTTGCTGCTCCTCGAGACTTGCAGACCAAGTTGAAGAGGAGGAAACGACCAGGGAAGAACGTGAAGGGGAAGAGACCTGCAGCCTCCTCTCTCCTCGCTGCCCCTCAGCCTCTACCTGCCTCCCCTTCCTTCTTCGACACTCCGCACGACGAGGAGTCAGACATCGAGAGCGAGGAAGAGGAGGGCGACGAGATCCTCTCCTTCTCTCTCCGTCCTCCCGACCAGCTCCTGCGTCAAGCGAGGAAGGGGAGCAAGAGCGAGGGCAAGCTGAAGGAAGGCAGGGGAAACAAGAGCGAGGGCAAGCTGAAGGAAGGCAGGGGAAACAAACAGCTGCGAGCCAAAGAGGGAGAGAAGAGCAAGACGAGAAAGAGGACGGGAGCGATGAAAGAGGAGAAGGGGAGGGAGAGGACACTGACCGACTTAGACCTCCTTCACCCTCACCAGGATTATGCTGCCGCTTATCGAGCATGGCAGCTCAGCCACGCCACATTCCCTCGCCCGCATCAGGTTTGTCTTCTCCTCCTCTCTCTCCCTCCTGCCTCCTGCCTCCGCTACCTCCTCCCTCCTGCCTCCGCTACCTCCTCAAGCTTCTCTTCATCGCAGGACTTGATGGGTAGAAATCTCCCGCGTCTGCGAGCCTTTGATGCCAACGAGTGAGTGAGCTGGGGAGTTGAAGGAAAAAGGAGGAGGGGGGGGGCAGTAGCAGGAGGAGCAGCAGCAAGTCGAGCAAGAAGAGGAGCAGCAGCAAGTCGAGCAAGAAGAGGAGCAGCAGCAAGTCAAGCAAGAAGAGGAGCAGCAGCAAGTCAAGCAAGAAGAGGAGCAGCAGCAAGTCGAGCAAGAAGAGGAGCAGCAGCAAGTCAAGCAAGAAGAGGAGCAGCAGCAAGTCAAGCAAGAAGAGGAGCAGCAGCAAGTCAAGCAAGAAGAGGAGCAGCAGCAAGTCAAGCAAGAAGAGGAGCAGCAGCAAGTCAAGCAAGAAGAGGAGCAGCAGCAAGTCGAGCAAGAAGAGGAGCAGCAGCAAGTCGAGCAAGAAGAGGAGCAGCAGCAAGTCAAGCAAGAAGAGAAGCAGCAGCATCTAATGGATTCGCAGGTCTTCGTCGGAGAGCTCGTTGGAGTCTGACGGCGCTTAAG